ACACAGTGCAAATCAGAGAGATTTTAATTTGACTCAGCTGATATTCTGTTTTTATTTTGCTTCCATTTGACAGCTTATACATAACGTGTATGTGTTTAGACAAGACAAATTTAAAAGAAGACTGTTCCATCAGAGCAGCTTTGAATTTCAAGCAGTAAAAACCAAATCCATAAAATGTCTACAACAGTGAACACTGGTGCGCAGTAAACCTTTGTACTGGGTCCACCTGCTGCTTCACCTTATCGAGCGTCAGACCTGTAGTCTAGATGGAGAAAATCTAGTGAAATGGACGTTTTTTACTTTCATAGAGGTTTCACAAATCTGAAAGTAGGTTTGAAGGGGCGGCAAGGCCTTGACTAGTCTAGCACTCTTTCACAACATTAAGTGGATCCAACATGTAACTTCCTTGACTTCTGAACTTGAGGTTAACTTCAAAAACCTAAACTGACATGCTTCACCAACACTCAGCACTGAGGTACAGATACATACTACACATACATACAGTGAATCCTATTTATTTTCATGCACTATGGACTCTCAGTTTAAGCCACAACAAATATTAAGTCATCTAACTTCAAACTGGCAACAGACGGTCCCACACGCAAACACACAGACACACACAGGTGTCTCATTTACCAAAACTGGAAAACGGGTCTAAAAACGTCAGTGTTTCTAGGATACTTGGGAACCCTTAAAGTCCAGGTATAGGAGTGCACTGTAATGCTGCTACCTGAAAGCACTGTAACAAAGCAGAGCAGCAAAACCAAGCTTTCATCCCAAGACATTTAAAATGGATTAGAGAGCAGAAGGTGAGACCTTTGCATTTCAAGGACTTAAAAGCCCACAGATTACCGTAACAGCTATCTGGCACCAAACTGTCTGCCTGTCTCATTACCTCTCTTCCATTTCATTTGATTCATTCCTTATGGTTTCGACATCCAGGTGACGTTTGTCATTGGTATTCAATACGTGCTTTCGCCATTTTCCATTAACTTTACAGCTCTCTGCCCCTTTGCCTCACCTTTTCCTCTCTCTTCACCCCACTCTCTCTGCAGTACGGTCAGCAGCAGCAGTCGGTCCTGCTGCGCCCTCCATGTCATCATTATTACCACGACAGGCTCCCTGTCAACCTGCTCCACACCCACATTCACAGAGCTGCTGCACCTCTCTGCCCCGACACCCTCCTTCTCAGGTAGCAGAGCAATAATTACTGCAGAAACAGCACAGAAACCCAAACCTGATGCATCCTTATACCATGCAAAATAGGAGTTATGTACAATATTTTGAGGTTGTAGCAGTGCATTGGTGAGTGTTGGAGTTACCCAATGACTGACAGAGCCAGCGGGGGTCTCAGAATCTCACTGTACTGGTGTTCTCTCACTGCATCCCATTGCTAGCTAATGGACTGCAGAGCACTTCTGTCCTTGGATGGAAATTTCAAGGTTGTGCTGCAGCAACAGGGCGCTCTGTTTGGTAATGCTGACTGGGGACCATGAGAGGCCCACAGCAGATTGTGCGTATTGTTCAAGTAACAAATCCGGTTCCTGCTCTCAGAAAGTACAAGAGCAAGGTTTTCTTTAAATCAAATAGTTTTAGAATCTATTTAGTAAAAGTTAAACTACCAGTAAAAGTAAGGGCAAAGTCACCCCTTTAAAAAAAAAAAAAATCATAAATTAACATAAAAATTAACCTAAACCACAAGCCAGGAAGAAAAAAAAAAAAACTAATCGGGTGCCATGGCAACCAAACAAGAGAAAATCCTACATTACACATGCTGCATGATAAGGAGCTGCTCCTGTTACCTGCACAGAAGCAAACAGCACAAGAGCATCTGGGCAGAGCAACACCTTCAGCTGTTAAAGTCAAGTTTCCCCTACAAAATGTCTGCACACACCTGATGTTTAATAGACTCTACCCTGCAAGACATTTCTCTACATGACCCCGGAAAAGACAAATCAAATACATTACAGGTTATTTAAGGTAGAAATTGGGGTCGCTGTGGAGTGGAGAACAGCATTTGGCTATCCAGTATTGTCCAGCTACTGAAAGTAGTTTTAAAGTCATCAGTGGTGCATTCCACACTGTACATACTGCACATGCCCATTTTACTGAGAAAAAGAAAAGACAATCACTGTGTGCAACTGCTGACAAGCCTTGTAGGCAATGAAACACGTGAGCCGTGTTCCTGACTGACTCGCTACCAATCCAGCAGTGAAAGTGAGACGCAGATCTAAGCCCCATTGCTCTCTCTGGATGCATTTAAGTCACACAGACAGTCAGTGCATGGACTGTTCTTTGCAACAGCTAACACCACCACACCCCAGGACCTACAAGGTAGTTGTTATTTCCTCAGTAGCTAAGTCTCATCTTTCCAACGAGTGGCCAATATGGATAATATTTTAGCATCCCTATTATTATGTGATATATGCTCAGTCACCAGTATATTAGGTTCACCTAGTGAAAACAACACAGATTAAGGTAACACTGAGTTTAGTTTTTGTTGTTTTGTTGAAACTGTTTTAGAAAGGTTGTTATTCGTTTGTTATGATGATGGTGCTGGAGGATGTAGTTTGTGTTGCCGTTTCATGGTGTTGAAATATCCTCAGAGGTGTTTTGCAGCATTCACTGACAGAAATGAGGGTGACAAAACAGCTAATTGGAAGAGCAAAGCCAATGTGTGTGAATTATATCCATGAAAAAAGGGTCTAAATATGTTATTGATGGTTATTCTCTTGTTCTGCCAAAGCATCATTTGTTTACAAAAGGAAGTGACTTCTACTAGCAGCTGCTTATTTAGCAACATATTTCAGTTACTGCTCTTACTGTGGCCAGTATTTTACAACACAAACTGTCTCTGTGCCATACACCATCACCAAATGGGGTGTGTCTTGAGTTGCAGCTGTGTGTTGCACTGATGTTTATGTTTTTACGGAGTCTGCAAGATGCAGATAAACATCCCTGTTGGCCACATTTGAACTTGTCTTAAAATTTGCTTGGCCAAAAATAAAACCAGTGGTCTACAGAAGACCTCAGTGTGGCAGATCTTTACTAATCTGACTACTCTGTTTAGTCTCATACCATTTCTAACAAAAGAGGTACATAATCCATGTTGTTATGAAATATACAGGCACAGTATGTTCATGAAGCATCAGTTTTCCCTTCGCTGATCACGCCTAGAAAAAAAAAAGACCATTTTAACTTAAGTAGAGGCGCCCCCTACAGAATACACACAAGTCAAATTTTGGTGGAAATATCATTTTGAAGATGTGCAAGTTTGCACACTGCAGGAAATAATCATGAATTATTGATCAGAATCATCACCATGCTCTCAGTATATACGCAACTAAGATGGAGCCTCCTGAGAGAGGACATGTGGCGCTCGCAGATAAGCAAACCATAAAGTATACTATACGCACACACTCCACTACAAAACTACACAAACAACAACACTACACAGTGAAATCCATACATGTGCACACTGATACACACTAGATCCAGCAGTGACAAAGACTAGTAATGACACTGCATTAACAGTCCATGGAGGGTGTAAACATCTGTGTCATTGTTTAACGGAGCATTGTTGTGACAAAGGCTGAACGATGCTCTGGCCAAAAGGACAAAGTAAGGCTACAGTGCACAACCAAACAGGCTTCTTCTGGTCCTATCATGCATCTCTAAAATGAGCTTGTTCCAGACCAGTCATTCTTTAAACCCCGTATCCCTTTTCCACAAAGCCCATGAGAAATCTAGAAGCCTGAGAGATTCCACATGACTGCAGGTTTCCCCAAGTACAATTACACATATTATTTGGCTGGAGAATGATGTACATGGAACAAACATGAGCAACGGATGCACAACTGGCTGTGTCTCTCGGTGGTATGGAGCATGACAATGGTGTAACTTTATCAGAGATATCTTGGCACTATACTTGATACACTCAGGTGGAAGTTTATTAGGTATACTGAGTTAAAACTAAAAAGAGTCTAATCCAACAGCCCTGCAACAAATCCTCCTTCATAAAGCTAACAGCATTCAGTTTTTGTGTGAACTGTTTTAGAGGGGTGTCAACTCAACTGTATAGTTATTTTGGAGGCCCTAGTTTGTGATGGTGCTGAACTGTATTGTGTTATACTGAAAGCGATTTCTAGTATTTGTCCACCACACATAAATCAATGAGGCTAAGTAAGACAAAAGCAGCTTATTTAATAAGGGACCAGCAAATGCTTATTACTTTTGTCTCCAAAGGTGGCACTAAGTCCATAATTAAAATATCTATCAGTTAATTTTTAGCTCAAAAATCACTTAAATGGCCAATTATTTCAGACTGACTGTATAAAATTTAAAGACAGTGCTATTAAAAGTGACAAAACATCACAGGTCAGCACTGGAACAGATAAGAACTTTCTTCTCCACATCTGTATTAGCTCCAGCATCCAAAGGATGACTGGTCAGACTGGTTTGAAATAGGAAGCAGGTGTATTTACGATGATATGTAATAATAGTCACTCTGTCACATAGTGTTTGACAATGCTTGATCTCAGGCCAAGACACACCCAGCTGAGGAACTACAGTACGCCAAGTCAGGGATGTGCTAATCAATAGGTGTACGGTTGCTAGCAGGGGCCGGCACCTGCCAAAGCCTGTAGTTTTACAGCTACAGTACAGAAAGCTGGTACCCGACCAACCAGTCCGGTATATTTGCTGTAACAGCGACTAGCTGGACGCTCAGGCGGAACAAGCCCCATTAACCTGCAAAGCACCAGCTGACTGGCATGAAGCTATGAGCTAAATCGCTAGCTAGCATGTGCGCTTGAATGTTAGCCAGTTAGCGAGCTAGGTTATGCGTTTTAGGCTGATGGATTAGAGGAACCTTATGTCTGACTGAAGAGAGTCGTCTTATCTCCTCCAAAAACAGCACAAATCAGTGGAGCCTCATGTCGGACTAATTCTATCACTCAGTGTCAATGTAAACAGTTAAACCATTAGCTGGTATATGGCACCTTTGTCTCCCTGATGTCCTGCTTTCCTCCTTCAGGGTACCACTGGACGCGGACATATCCTCTACCGAGAGGCCGACTCGGGCTGTCCACAGCGCTCTCGGTGTCCGAACCACACGGTACCCGTCCTCCTCCTGCACCTCCACCTCCTCCTGCACTCCCAGTACCACCACCGCCGCCTCCTCCGCCGCCGCCTCTCCCTCCGCCATCGTCCAGGTCCGAGTCGGAGTTAAAATCCTCCTCTCCGTGGATCATCCGTACGAGCCCAAACCGGACTGAGCCGCGGTACCTCCCGGAGACCAGGTCGTGGGAGAAGAGCAGGCGTTGGAAGCTGTCCGCCGTGGGAGAGAGAGCCATTGATGGAGGCTCCGAGCTCGGGCTGGCTGCAGGAGAGAGGCCCGAGGGTGGGGGGGCTGCTGCATTTTTCCGACCCTACGGGCTCCGCCATCGCTGCTGTTGTCAAGGAGTGATGCTAGAGCGTGAGGACGACAGTGGAAGGAAAAAACTGCAACCTGGAAGCAGCGAAGAGCACGTGTTTACGTCGCTACGAGAGCTGCGTATCAAGTGCAGTTGTCAACGTCATCGCGCAGTGCGCTTTCTCACCACTGGGAGGCAGTGTAAGCTAGAGTTTCGCTCATAAATCATCCATGGCCACAGTCCGAGTAGTTTCTTGACACACGTATACAGCAATGTATGTTCAATTTAAGATCAATACACATAGCCTATTGCTGTAATTATGGGGAAGGAAATATAATTACATCTGAATGTATATATATATAGCTATATGTGTATATAGTTTGGAGATTTACAGTCTTGTAGGAGTTCGCCGGCTCTTGATTTCAGTTTGTGTTAACTGAAGCACTCAGTTGTTGGAGAAAACATTTGTCTCCAACTTGCCCATAAAGCAAAATGGCGACTTGAAATTGTTAACGCCACTTATTTACACTGACGAGGTGACAAACTCCTACACGTGCTATAGTCCTCTTACAAGACTGTAGAAGCGTGGAAAAAGCAGTCAATCAACTAACCATTCAGTCATTCATAATCTTTATTGCCAAATATGTTAAAATACAAGGAATTTTACTCCAGTTCAGTTGATGATGGGTGGTAATAGAAGCAGTCAATGGAAAGTCTCCTTCAGAAAAAGGAGAGATAAGTCGAATCCTTAAGCACCCACGTGCTTACTGGCCATGTCATCAGGGAAAATGGGCGGTTTGCTCATCCAGCTTGGGTCAGGATTATAACCAACCACCCCCAACGCACTGGGGGTATAAATATTGGCGGTGCGTCTCTATTCAGCCTCAGCGCACAGTCTTGTTACGCCCAGATCAGTCTGTTAGAGAAGCTGAGACTCGTGTTGAAGGAGTGCCGAGCAGAAAGTCAAAGAGTTAAATCTCAGCCCACTGCCCTTTGTTTTATTCTAAAATCGTTTGGGGTTGAAATAAGGCCATGTCAGTGGTGAGCGCAGTGCCGTTCATGAAGCCGCTCCACATGCGCTCTCCGGTGCACCAGGGCCGCCGCCACACGCTGCCGGCCAGCGAGTTCCGCTCCCTCAGCCCGGAGGATGCCATCAGTGTGTTTGAGATTGAGAGAGAAGGTAAGCAGACTCTTTATACTTTACTGAATTATGGCATCTTGCTACGGCTGTCTTATTTACTTCAGCACAGCAGGGGTATTCTCTGCACATTTACGCACACATGGACCATCTTTTTCTTTTAACAGGAAAAGAATCAGTACACTCAGTACCCGAATTTGTTTTTATTCATATGCTGGTTAACACGTAACTCACTGTCTATGGGCAAACAGTCTCTATTAAGTTACATTCCTACAATATGTGTGCGTCTCTCTTACATTTACTTACCATGGCGTGCACAGATGATATGAGATCACGTGTATCTTAATAACACCCCTGGCTCTGGTCCAGTACTGGTCATTTTGGGCAAACAGTCTCTATTAAGTTACATTCCTACAATATGTGTGCGCCTCTCTTACATTTACTTACCATGGCGTGCACAGATGATATGAGATCACGTGTATCTTAATAACACCCCTGGCTCTGGTCCAGTACATCCTTTCAACACATTTTCCGTCCTTTTAGTATTCAGTATGAGACATCAACCTCACATCTTTGTCATGCAACCTTCTGCATCATGTACATTTAGACTCTCCTTCTCCACACAGCCTTCATCTCAGTATCCGGTGAGTGTCCTCTCCACCTGGACGAGGTGCGTCACTTCCTCACCCTGTGTCCCGAGCTGTCTCTTGGCTGGTTCGAGGAGGGACGTCTGGTGGCTTTTATCATCGGCTCACTGTGGGACCAAGAGAGGCTTACCACCGTAAGGCAGAGCAGAGGACACCTGGACAGTCATATACCTCAGGCTGACTGGCAAGACAAGAAAAGTTTCTAACCAGACTAACAGAAAAGATTTATGTGCATATCTATGGTAGGGTAGTGCAATACCCAAGTACAATTTTGAGCTGTTTGAGTGTTTGTTTGATACTACTTCTTTTGCTCCCCTGCATTTATTTTATTATACTTACTGGTAGTGAAACGTTTTATAAACAAAACGTTATAAATCTGTAAATAACCTAAAATGTGTAAAAGGACTCCTGTCCAACAGAAGTTCACACTAGCGTCATGAGTTTCAGTATTAGTTTTTTAAATGTTAATGAATTCAGTAATCACTAATGATAATCAAAAATGTCATGTTACTAACAGTAAAGTACATGAAGCTGAAGATCTGGACTCATCATGGACTTTTTTTTTTCTAGTTAAACCTAGTTATTTACACCACCTCTTCCATCCATACTTTCCAGTGCTGCTTTACACAGTTGTTCAACACAATAACAGCATATGTCCTAAAAGCTCTACTATTCTTCTCTGCTTTCCAGGACGCCCTGACTCTCCATAAGCCTCATGGCACCACCGTCCACATCCACGTCCTGGCTGTCCACCGGACCTTCCGCCAGCAGGGTAAAGGCTCCATCCTGATGTGGCGGTACCTGCAGTACCTCTGCTGCCTGCCTTACGTCCGCCGCGCTGTGCTCATGTGTGAAGACTTCCTGGTTCCTTTCTACCAGAAGTTGGGTTTCAAGGTGCAGGGCCCCAGTGAGATCACAGTTGGCCCCCTCACCTTCATCGAGTTGTTCTACCCCGTCAGGGGCCACGCCTTCATGCGCCGTAACAGCGGTTGTTGAGGACAGTGGGACTTCATATGGATTGTTTCTTGTCGTCAGTGGTACCACTGGGTCCGGTTCAGCGGACAGCGAGGTGCTGTCTCTTTCACTGTCGCTCTGCAAAGGGAGGAAAACAGAGCTTCCATCCAGCTGTTTGAATAGATGGTCTGAAACCAAAGAAAACCTGGTTATGTTTTTAGTTTGTCTAGGACACAAAAACTAAAAGCAAAGCCCGAAAAGAATGTAGGCAGTCATTTCAGTTTTGTTTGTATAATACTATTTATTTTTTGTGATAAATGCTGGACGTTTGTTATATCCAGTAGAACGCAGCTGCCTTTCTTCTGTCTTTGTCCTCCTTTTCATATTTTCTCACATATTTGTAGCTTCTATAAAGCCAAAAAGGACAGATCAATAAAATCAGTATATGCCCATTATTTGTAAATATTTATAGTTTTGTATAAACAGTATTTAACAGAAGACAGAGGGTATTATAGTTTAAAATCCCAAATACAATCAGTATGTTTATAGAGTATAGAATCCAGTATGTGTTTTCTGAATTTCTCTAAGTCTCCTCTTGCCTTCACCCTTGTAGACAATCACCACCTCTCCCTCCCAAAGTCTTGACCATGTATTGCTCTTAAAATAATAAAGATTTTATTTTCTAACATGTTTGCTTTTAGGACATCTCATTTGCCATCTAGCAAAAGTCATTTTACCAGTTGTTGAGACATCTAAGGTGCATTTAGTGGGCATTTCAATCATTTGACACAATCTTCATCAGCAGATGGAATTTGCAAATGTTCCGATTTCCTTTTTTTGCCAAGTGTTTGAGAATTCTCTTCCATAGCAGTTGAGACTGCAACTATGCTCAACCTTAGAATCAACAGTTCAGAACCACATTCGGCCATTTAGTGGCTGTTCTGCAGCTTTAAGTCATTCTGCGTGTTAATGAAATTGTGTTTACATACTATGTTGTACACACACACACAACCTCATTATTACCAGAGCGACATTTATGTTGACAAAACTGACACGCACATATAAAACAAACAAAATAACAGTACCTTCACCATGAACTGGAAATCATCTTAAACTCCCTTTTTATTCCAATAAATTTAAAAAAAGGGTAAAATTATTTGGTCCCAATGCAAACACAGCTTTGTAATTGCTGTGTGACTGAAAAATGGCTATGGTTCACATGCTTACAAGTCCAAAGGCACAGTAAAGAGGTTTCCTAAAAAGAAAAAGGAAACAAAAAAAGGTGAAATGTCACTGTCATTGTCAAGCACGTGCTTTCAACAACACATGATCAGTCAGTCATCCCCACAGACTAACACACATAATCCTCCTAACAACTCATTACTGTGGCTTCCCAAAAAGCTGGCATCAGCACAAAATCCCAAACAACAAGCTAGATGGATAGACCCAGGGATGCAAGAAATGTTTCACTTCAGGTGTCAGGACCTCTGAAATCATACTGGTACACTTGTCACATTGTCAGGGACCCACAAAACCTACAACTATTGAATGCATGTGATGGACAACAACCCCCCAAAAAAGAAAAGTCACACCAGTGTACATGTAAGGGACAAAGGATGCCCAGCTTCAGTCTGAATGTGTGAATCTCATTTCTGTGGCAAACATAACTATTAAAACATTTTAAACTGCACTGATGTTGTAAAGGAGAGCCCAGGTGTAACTGACAAAACCTGAGCCTAGTTACTGTATATTTCATAAACATGTGAAAGGTTCAGGTGAAAGAAATTACATTTTGTGATTTTAAGATATGAGTTTGCCTTCAGTCAGTCAAAAAAAAACAAACTACAGATATACAAAATGGTCTCGGCAACACCGTTATTGGACAGACATGGTTAGATCGGGACATTAAAGGTGGAGTCTGACTTGAACCTATTGTTTGTGGCAGTAGCATACAGAAGACTAAATTCTTTTGAGAAACATGCATACAGAACATAAGCAGCATGTGAAGTTGCTTTGGTGTGTTAGGGTCAAATATCATCATCATGCAGTACCAGTACACTGGTCACAAGCTCTATGCAAAAGTACAGTGAGGCATCTTTATAAAATGGCATAGTGTGTTTAAGGCATCTAGTGGTTTCAGATAGAAATCTTGCCTTAGTTGACCACTGATATTTAATTATCACAGCTGCACAGTGGAACACACTGTTATATGCAGCATAACATTTCATTACTCCAAAGAATATTGACATAAGAACTGCGGTGAAGATAAAAAAGTGACTTTACTCGGAAAGCGTTTTATGACTGTTGAAGCATTGACAAGCGGCAGAACTGAATGACAGCTTTTGTAGTGTTAAGCCCAGTGTAAGTAGACAATCAGAAAACAAGACATTCGATATACTATCTCGGTTCACTGGATACCCGATGACCCAACTATGGCAGCGCCCTTCCTTTTTACCTCTGTTTGCCATCCATAAAGTTAAAGGGAAAAGTGATTGTAGGCCAGAGATTGCCATGTCTTCTTATTTCATTTGGTTTCCTTAGATTGATATGAAATGATGGAACTACTCAGTCTGTGGCTGAGTACATCTTCTCCTTTAAATCCACCCAGCTCGATACAATTTTGATGCCCTGAGTGTCTTTTCCTGTCCGCTGAATATGACAAACTACTAGCCCAGTAACAAATGAACATGCTAGGTAGTATCAGACTTGACTGAGGATTAAAAAGGTTGAATAATGTTTTGTGGAAGTGAGCAAATAAGCAGGCTGATGAGAGGAGTCTGGTCCAGTTCCATTCACATGAACTTTAATCAGGTCCTTTGATGAGTGAATAATAAAAAACATGACTCATCTTCTTAAAAAGGTCAGTTGACCTGGAAACAACTGACCTAGAAGCTAGTGGATCAGTAGCACAGATGCTGTAGTCATCTAAGACAGAGCCCTTGTGACTAGTGTACCACGTGGTCAATGTTGTGATCTATGTCGTACTTTTCACAGAACTTGTTTGTGAAGGGCAGGCAGGTGAGATGCTCCAGCCAGTGCAAGTTAATTGGGTAAATATAAAACCAGACAATGAGGGAAGAGAACAGTCCGATGTAGGCTAACATTGAGACAAAAATGAGGATACGTTTCCGGTACTTGTCAAAAGTCCCAAAGGTGACGTAGGGCAGGAAGGCGAAGGAAAGCAGCATGCCGCTGAGGAAACCAAAGATGTGGGCGATGTTGTCAATCCACGGCAGGAGACCGCACAGAAACAGGAAGAGGACGATGCCCAACAGTTTCATAAAGGCCTTCCATGGCTTCTCCAGCATCTGCCAACCTTGGAACAGTTCAACAAAGAGGCAAGCGAGGAGCCCAAACTGAGAGCCTGCTGGACCCACCTGGAGGGAGAGGGTGAGGGGAAAACATTCAATTTAAAACCAAGTTAACAAAGGAAGGTCAGTTAATGTTGGTCCTCACAGGAAGCTGAAAGAGGTTTTCTATATAAGCACTTACACCTGCCACACTTGAATGCTTACATGGGTGACTGAATGCATGACACGCATCATTGCTGATGTGTACCAGAGAAAAAATGTACACATCGTGTTTTTTGGTAACCTGTCAGTTCTTGGCATTGTTGTTCATGTATATTGGCGTCAAATGACAGCAACACGACCACATACTCCCCTTACATGATGACAATTAAACGTCATACATGAGGGTTATACATATACATTTGAGTTCAAAAGTGTCACAAGGGATTTTGTTCTTCAAATGATCAATATTGTATTATATTAGGTTTTTAATGTCCAACGCAAATTTCCCTGCTAGCACAGCATATTACATTGTTTATAGGTTTGCGTATGTTGCTTGAACACAGAGGACATAATGTTAGTCTGAGTGATGTTTTGGAGGAAAGATTCACATAGTTTGAGTTTTGTAAAATTCAAAACGAGGCCGTAGCCTAGTTCCAAGCCTCTGAACTGCTGCACTCATCTCTGATTTGTTCACTGATGTGAAGTGAAATTAAAGTGAAAAATACATTCTGATTATCTGGCTACTGAAGGGGAAGAGAGAGAGAGCTTTAACCAGATTACTAAATCTTGGCAATAAGTACACAAAACAGTTACTGTTAATACATGTAGGATATGCCACCAGTCTGTCTCGAATTCCATATGGTTTTTATGAAGCTTGATAAAGATGTTGTTCCTGCTTCCAGATGCAGACTTAACTGCACATAGTCTCTTCTACTTTTAGTTCCGAGAATAATTTCAGTATGAGCCCAGGGACAGGAAGTAAAGGTGAGCAGATTAGTGACATCACTGAGAATGGAAGCATGGCCTGGTCAGAGGCAGGTGGCTAATCTGTGAAGACAAACTCTTAGAAATAAACAAAGAGCAGGGCATTGCACTCCACCCAGACACTCCAGACACACAAGCTGCCATGTTCTTTACACATGCTTATGGTCACTCACATTTGCCTGAGATGGAAATATCGCAGCAGGATGGAGCTTTGACTGGGAGTGAATTCTTAGTACCGTGCCTGTGTGGTTGTACTCGTGCTGTAGGGCCAAATCTGTTACACGCGCATGTCCACTATCAGAACATAATGAGCGACATACCCTTTACTTTGCCCTGCATAACCTCCCGGGGTGACGTAGACCATCTTGCTTTGCTTTTCCACTGTATTTTCTGCGCCTATGTTTATAGAATGGCAGGGCTGTGCTCCTCTCACACAAATAGCAGAGTGGGAACAGACAATGTGAAGAATCACGCCATAGTGCAACAGTCAGCCAGTAACAGAGACTGTATGAGCAGTTTATCAAACAGCTGTTGAACAAGCAGAAATGTGACATCTTTGTTCCAGTCACAGCTGCTGTTTGAGTCATTTATACTCAAGCCCCAGGGTTTCCTTAATTCAACAGTTAATGGATAAGCCAACTAAACCACCTCTTTAAGTGGCCTGACCGCTATGTACTATGCCTAAGCATGTGCTTCTGCTGGTTATTTCTGATGCGTGAAGACCTGCGAGCTGGTCAGTGCTAAGGAGAGCTGGGTGCTGGGATTTCTGGCTCTCAATGACATCAAAACATGAAAACAGCAGTCAAGCAAAAAAAAAAACAAACGTTTCATTAGTTATTTGTCATGTATGAATACATGTCTTTGTTTAAAAAGTCTTAGGTGGTGAAATATCAAACATCTTTACACTGCGGTTTTCCCTGATGGCTCTGTCAGAGGTGTTCCAGGATGAACCTTCATGCTCCTAGAGGTGTGCTGACTAGAAGCATCACCAGACAAGTCCAGTCTTTGTTTAATATTCATTTTCTACCGCTTAGTCCCTGAACGGGGTCACGGGGGGGCCGGCAATCGGGCAAAGGCGTGGTACACCCTGAACAGGTCGCCAATCCATCGCAGGGCTAACACATAGACGAACAACGCACTCCTATGGGCAATTTAGAGACACCAATCAACCTAAGCTGCATGTCTTTGGACTGTGGGAGGAAGCCGGAGTACCGAGAGAACCCACGCAAGCACGGGGAGAACATGCAAACTCCACACAGAAAGGTCCCAGGTGGGGCCCGAACCCAGAACCTTCTCACTGTGAGGCAACAGCGCTAACCACTGTGCCACCGTGCTGCCCTCTTTGTTTAATAGAAAAAGAAAATCCATTCACTAAGCACTGTAGCAGTGGCCTCTGTTAACCCACACAATGGCATTAGGCTAATCTCTTAAACGGGAAAGTGGGCTTTACAGACACATGCGAGAAGAACACACGTGCTGGTAAAAGTAGGTAATCCAGACTGTGCTCTCTTCACATGCTGAGTAATTTGCATAGATCAATGTACTGTTTTTTTTTGCAAACATTACACCAAGTTAGAAAATACAGTACAGAAGCAGGAAATTCTTAGCAGGAAAATATCCCCTCCCCTAACTGAGCTGCAATGATATGAGCTAAGCCACTAAGTGATAACAACAGAGAAACAATCTATAGTTACACTAAAAATATATAAATGGTTGAGATGCTTTTATGTTTCTCTGAGTGGAAAAGGCCGTCTTGGTGCATGTGGATTATTCAGACCTAGATTTTACAGTCTAAATAAAGTGGTGGCTTGGAAGAAGAGAGGACAGCAATGGACCAAGTACAACATTCTGATGATCTGCAGTGGGTGCTCGCTTTTGGTCCTTAATCATTTCACAGAAGGTTAAAATATTTTGGAGCACATGTTGCTCTATTTTGCTCCCTCACAGTTTACCAACCCAGACATTTAAACAGCTCACAGATCAGCATGACATGTGGATTTGACTTGTGGGAAAACGTGAGTGAGCAAATGCACGTGTCAAGTGTGTGAGTGCTTAAGTGTTAGAAATAAATCAGCCTCTCTTAGCAAAGGTCACTGCAGCTCAGTCATGTTGATGGTTAACACAAAAGACAAACTAAGATCCTGTTTTAAAAAGGTGTTGATTCAAATGTATGATCCCAAATATTATATGTCAAACTCAAACTTGTTTATACACAAGGTTTACAAAAATATATTGCTTTGTCTTATATAGTATTTTATTGCTTTTATTATACAAGAGTTCAGATTCATCACCTAACTGTACAGTTATTGTCTTCATGGCACATGAACAGAAATATTAGCATCTCCTGAAATATAAAATCAACAGACATCACCTGCCCTTAATACTGGTGACACAGTACATGATCACATTCAGGGATCTGTGGAAAAACCCCTCTACTGATGTAGTCTCCAACACTTCCACTTCCAAATCCTTTACTAAATAATGTGGCCAAAAAATTCTGCTTGCTAAAATTGGAGTTTATCACTTGGTTTTACAAAAACAACTACAAAAAAATACTATACAATTCTAGTCCTTTAGTTAGAATGCTCACCTCTGCTCTATAGGGCAGGAACAGGGCAGAGGCCAGGTTCCCAGTGATACCACTGAGGATGTAAATGATGGAGATGCGGACCCAACCTGCAAGCTTCTCCAGGTCTCTCAGTATGGTCATCTGGAACACCACTGACACCACGCAGTGTAAGAGCCTATACACACAGACAGACATCACACTAATATGCTAGCGTTTCAATTACAGCACTGTATCACATCTGCAGTTTTGCACTCACTGCAAATATTTGCACTTATTTAAAATTAAGCTTGATGTTTCCTTGATTTAAAAGCAGGCCTGAGGGATTTTCCGTGTGCCTTGTATTAGCACTAAGTACTACATTACTGATGCGAGTACACAGCACACACTGTTCACATCATAGATCTGACACTTCTGCAAGCAAAACAAGCAGGCAAACACATTCTGCAATGCTATTTAGCATTTATGAAATGCTCATTCTGCAGAGGAACTGTACTTGAATGGCTGAGTCATCTTAAACAGCTCATTTATAGCCAGCTGAAATATGACATATTTAACTAGAGTAGAAAATAAATTAAACAAATACACAGGTGACATTACATTTATACAGAACTTAAATCTTTGCTTAAAAATGTCGTTTGGGGGGTGCAGTGTGTACCCAGCATGGAGGAAGAGAGAGAGCCAGAGACGGTAGAACTGATCTGGAACATCAGGATTAAGGAAGGGCAGCAAACCACACACATCATCCAAGCAATGGACCTGTACAAGAATAGTGAATGAGGTCAGAAATATACCAATACACCAAAAGACACACATGCACAAAGTACATGTAGGCCCACTACCTGTGAGCAGAGTGTGGCATCTTCATGGAAGTAACCATGCATGAAGGAGCAATACTCTCTGGTTGTGATTTCACATCTACAGGAGGCAACAAGCACAAGACAGTTGAAATTTTCTCCAGGGCACCAAACAAAAAAAGGCATTTCAACAAGCACATGATTAAAAAAAGTGGGGCGATCACAGTGACATCTGGCCTCGTTTCTCACCTGCCCTTAGTTCCTAAGCAGCAAGGCCGCCCTTTGATGTTACAGTCCATGTGTCTGTAGCCTGTCTGGTTCCACTTCTTAGGATATGTACACACCTGGAGAAGAACAAGATATTAAAAACAATAACAGCCATGTATACGCCTCGATCACATTTCCTTTGGCAGATCTCAGACACAGAGAGTAGCACAGTACAGAATTTTGTTTTAATGAAGCAGAGGACAATAGTGTATAAAACTGATTTCTAAAAACTAAATAGTGTAAAAGGTGTATCCCCTTACTGGCCACTGGGTGATGTCATCTGCCCATGTATGAGGCTCTGCAGAGGCAGGCTCTTCACACATTCTGGTCACAACAGGCAACACAGCAGGACACAGAAAAGTGACAGTTTTGACAATTACATTGCTTCTAAATCCCTAATGTTGAATGACTTGATTTTTATTTATTTCTTTGAAATGTTCTAATTGTAATTAGATACAATAATCACACAGTATATATCCTCACCTGGGGTCCTGGTGACAGACTGAACCAGACGACCTGTTGACGTCCACGTGCTCATTATTCCATTTAATAAAGGTGGCCAGAGTGTCCTGTATATGCAGTTACTCTATTTTAATATTCATTTCACATAGTCACAAAGGAACTGAGAAATAAACACAACAGTAAAAAATGTGTATAGCCATGTTATGGCGTCTTGTGCACTTCTAACAAATATAAGAAATGTTAATGTAATTGAGCAAATATCACTGCATTTTCCAACCAGCAACTTCAAAATATCTTTGTTCAGCAAAGTGACTTGTTACATTTGGTTTATTCTTTGTGTGCATTTGTCAGGGTGGACATAATGTGCAACACGTACAACATAGTATAGATACTGTAGCTCTGACACAACTGAGGGCATGTTTCAGTGATTCAGGTCTGTTTATCTATGGGGAGAACCTTTAAAGCAGAGCAATCACTATGTTGATAAATGTAATTAAAAATTGACCAAATAGGCTGTGTGTTGTGAATAACAGCATTAGATTTGATTAGTTTATCCAGGTTATGATGCTGTAATGTGGTCTTAAAGATTAGAACCTTTTGTGTGAGCATGTGTTAGAGGGCATATGCTGGTAATATTCTGTTGTGGACGGTGTGTGAAACACACCATTTTTTTCACATATCCAATTGTAATTTCATGTGTATGTTCACTGAATGTCAGATTTCTGTCTCACATACTGATAACAGTAATGCACCAAGCATAAAAGTGCATGATAAATGACATACGGAGCAGTCGGTTCTGAGGGTCTGCACACATCCAGAGTTGTCGTTCTGAACGCAGCAGCCAGACTCTCTCTCCAGGTCTTTGGCCTTCTGGATCAGACTCACTATCTGTGCATCCGGACGGATGCATGGTGAGAACTTGGCCCCTAGGTGGATCAGATCCTCCTGAAGAGTGGAAATTATCACATTGTAAAATGAGCTGCAGAAGAAAATACAGGAGGAAGGTTCGAGTTTGGTGAGAACAACAGCATGTGACAGGAAGTAAGTGAAGTAAGTGATAAAGAAAAAAATTCAGACTTATGAAGGTGTAACCTGCCAATCGACAGGGTAAAACGTGTCTGGTCACACCAACTGACAACAGACTGTTAAATACTAAAGAAATATAAGTAACTTCCATTTATCTATGATAATGTTTTATATCTGTTCATTAAAGGATTGGATTGGTACAGTTCACTTAGGTATTATACAGCAAAACAAAAATTTAATGTGGGTCTCTATCTACATAGAAAGTGAAATGACACATGATGGAATACAATGAGTGAGACTCACAGAGCTTGGACCAATCCAGAAGTTCTCCTGTTGGATGTACTTGACACTCTCATAAATGCCTTTGTTCCTCAGCACCTGATGGCCCAAAGAGGGCGACAAACCAACACAGTTTGCAATGTAACTGCTAAATTCATATAACATGACAAAAATACCACTAAAAGAATCTGAGTGCTAATTAATGACTTCTAAGTGCAGAATAGCTATTATAGTCATTGCTAGTTCAAATAAATACATTTTGCCTCTTAAATTTATCTTTTTGTCTGATCCACTATGTTTGATACAAAAAAAACAAGGTAACTTAAAAATGTATTTGAATTTTAATGCTCTCAGCCATATACTAAATAAGGAGATTTAAGTGCATCAAATTAGCATCACCTTCTAGTTGTCATGCTTAATTTCACAAAGAGCAATAAGCAGCCATTTTGACAGTACAGAGAGCATGACCTTTATGGCCTCTAGGTAGTCGAAATGCTGAAATCCAACCAGTAATGACAAAGTCAAATTCATGTGATTTTTTTCCCACCAATTATTACTTTGTGAGAAAAGACATATAGTTAGAGTTGAACTCACCAGGTCAGATGTAGAATGTTGTGCAAACCCCACAGGGGCAAAACCATATGTACAGCAGGCTAGCAAAGTGATTACTATATGGACAAATATGATCCAGTAGGTAAAGTAGGGCCTAAAACAAACACAAATGCACACACACACACCACTATTAATCAAGTAAAAATCAGAAGAGATGTCAGACATGACGCTAAACATCACATTACAATATAGAGAAATGCCTTTAGTCAAATACATGTGCCTTAAAGTCTTGTGACTGTTCTAACAATAAGTATGAACTGTATATAACCCCCCCAAAGAAGGTTTTGTTTATTTTGATTTTAGTATGTCATAAACACATAAACATCTACTCATTCCCAACCTGTGGCTGTGGAAGTCATCCAGCTGCTTCTGGATGGTGCTGCTGAGGCTGCGTCTGTAATGCCGGTTCAGCCAGTTCCCCACAACGCCCATACCGTATTGACGCTTATGTTTGTCAAATGCAAAGTGTTTAACTTGGGATGCGATGCGACGCCCACGACGAGGATGGCTCTTTTCTGGCACTGCTGTTGGTGTCCTGGGAGTCCGGGATAGGTCCTTACTGGAGTTAGGGGGAGGACCGGTAGATGAAGGATAGAAATAGGAATGAGGTGGTTGTGACAAGAGTCATGGAGGAGGGAGATAGGTGGGGTTTAGACAGATGAAATCGTAAAGAAAAATGAAGGTACACAAATTTAATGCACATATCTGAAAAAAAAATATAAAGGACAAGAAAAGTCAAGTCAAAGTATAAAAGTACATCAGCATAACTTGGCAATTCTCCTTGTGTTTCAGGTTACATTCTTAGGTTATTGACTTCTAACGAAACAGACTACTTTTAATCAACAACTATTAGATTTAAAGCCTCTAATGTTCCGATTGATAAGAAACATTTTCCTGAATTTTGATAAAAACCCCGATAAGTGGCTGAAACTTGTTTTAGTGGCATATAAGGCTTATTGACAATTCTGGCACAAGTTCAGACTATGAGTCTCAGTGTCATTCTTATGAGACTGCTACCGCTCGGTTGGCATTGTTTTGTGGTTGTCTATTTACTCACAAGCTTGGGAATTTCTGGTCAGGTTGCTCGCTGGGAGCAAATGATGCCGACAATGGAGGGGATTCAAATACATCATCAGCCATAGAGTACAGCTCATCATGTGCATCGACCTATGCAGCCGAGGTAACAGAGGTCACAGAGAAAAGAAAAATGGAAGAGTAGTAGTTAATGAGCAGGTCAAGCATCGTGTGTGACTAGGCAGCAGAATTCCTGGTTCTGTTGTAGCAGATATCAAGGAGGTGGGACATACTGTATAGGCGACACCTGAAATAATGCACTATTTATTATATACAAGTAGTATCTGTCAAACATTCCAAGCATTAAATTACTTAATAGACAGGTATGTTTAGACAGTAGATAAGTAGTGAAAGTCGAATAAAGTGGTGACTGCTGTGACTGTTGACATACTGAGGAAGAGAAAGGAAAACAGAAAGCCAAAGCAAAGAGAGGAACTGCTGCCAAAGCACTAAGAGGGGGCAGGGCAAAGGGTGTTCACCTTGCTGAAGAAGAGCGACTCAGATGTGTCTGCAGAGTCCACAGTGTCCTCGTCCATCCAGCTGGGCCTTGCAAAGCTCCTCCTGGGGAAACTGCGACCTGTCTGCGAACCTGCCAAGCCACTACGACCCTGGAGAACAAACACACACACACACACCATATAAGTGATTTCACATGCATAATATTTCTTAGATAAGTTCTGGTCCACTTAGAAATAAAGCAGCAGTGAAAAAACTTTAAAGAAGTATGTTGTTCATAGCTTTTGCTGACATTTTATTCAAAATCTGAGTTAAACATGGACACACAGGTGAAACCACCAAACTGATTCCATTATATTGTCCTTGATAACACTGGAAGCCCTCTAGACCTTAAATATTTAGTATTATAATAGCATAGTTGTGGAAAATCCCCTCCCATTCCAACATTCATTTACTCGGCCTTACTACTTCCTGTATCCTGAGTCTATATAGAAAGCCAGCTCCCTAGTAGCAAACCCTCTTTGAAGGAAGAAACCTGGCTGGCCTCATGTGGATGTACATGCCATTTAACAGCTTTATTATTTGTTTGACATATAAATCAAAATCTAAATAAAGTTTCACTAAGGCTTAAGACATTGCTTCATTAGACTGACAGTGCTTGTAATGGAAGTTAAACCACCTTAGCTGAATTATCAATTTATTGTCTTGTTGTCAGACAAACCAATTCAAAGTATTCATTAAAGTAAATAGCCTGGAACCCCTTGGCTGAGTCCCCATAATATGCGTAACAAAAGGCAAGCACACATACAGGCTTCCTAGTACCCATACACACCCTCAGCAGGTTGGACGCAGCTCGGATGCTCATGCGGGCGACAGACTCCCTTTTGCGCCTGGGAAAGCGGCCGTACCCAGAGCGCTGGCTGGTGAAGGAGCTGAGTGAGGTGACGCCTGGGGTGATGGGGACTCCCAGAGCAGTATGAGGCGTCCTGGGAGAGCGACCGCCCACTTCATCTGGACAACGGAAGGCTCGTCCCCGTGCTAGGGGATCCACTATCTAGCAAAGACAGAGATTGGGGTCAACTTGACACAAGTATTCGAGTTATTCCCTGATATTTATGTGAACTTGGCCACAACCTAGTAAACACCTGCTGTAATCACTACATCTTAAAATGCACTGTACTCTGAAAGCTGACTTTTTAAAAAATGTTTATCACAGTCGTGACAAAAACAGACAGATTGAGAATCAAAAAAGTGGGTGAAAGTAAGGACACGATACAAAATACTGGATGATGAGTAAAGCTGTCTGTCATGAACTGAAATGAATGGCATAATCCCACTTAGTGCACTATGCTTTATTAAAGATAGACACATTTTTCCTCCTTCTCTTACCATTTATTATTGCTCCTGTCCTTACACATAACGTTAGACCATACAGGTGGGGAAAAGAGTGTGTATAATATTTTGATCTGCTCATGCAACAGGGTCAGAATATGGAGACATACCGAAACAGCTTATGCTAAATAAAACTGTAAATAGAATGTGAAATAGTGGCTTGATTTAAGCACACAGTAAATGCATGCCACTGTTGACAGTACCTTGGGCAATCTGCTTGTGGCTGGTGAGTCTATGCCCTGGTCGAAACTGGCTGTGTCAGGCTCTCTATACTGGACCTTCAACTTGCCATAGCGCTGGCTGCAATGGCGCAGGCTCTTCTTGTGCCATAGCTGCTGCTTGGTCTCACAGTCTTCCCCCACCCCAAACCACTGGGCTGTATTCCTACAGGAACACAAAGTGATCTTTAGAATCATTTAATAGGTTAGGGTAACACAGGAGGAGCACACGCATGTGAATAATGTGTGCAAGAGTTCTTCTAGCAACATGTCAACAATCTAAGAAATTGTGCAACGTTAGAAAGTGAAGAGCTGAACACAATGATAGTGACTTGCAGTTCAGCTAGGAGATGTCAAACTGGCCACTAAACAAGATGCCAAACTTGGTAACTGAACTGTGAGGAACATGCTTTGACTGTTTAAGGTGAATGATTTATAGGGAACAGCACTTCCCCATTCCATCTGGAGAAGAGTCCTTTGTTGGGTGTTTTTTGTTCATGGGTTCATAATCTCATGCTAACCAACACCCTGAATGTTAAGCAATATGAAGATCATCAAAAACAGGGCTGAAGCAAACTCTCCATTTTACCTGCGGATGCTTTGAGAGAGTGATGTTTGTCGGCCAAACTTTGCCCTTCTGTCTCTGGCCAAGAAACTGCCATCTCCAGCTCCACTGTCCTACATAAAGAAGCAGCAAAGCAGATGACATACAAGAAATGATCTGGACAGTTACAAAAGACTACAGCAGAGCTAGCAGAAACCAGCAAAATTAATTATTGTGAGGCCCTTGGGAACTCGTAAGACATCTCGGATGAATTTAACAGCAAATCTTAAGACTATTAGGAAAGCAGTTTTATAATTATGGAAATGACTAAAATACTCAGGATCAGTGGCAAGACTGAATCCCAGTAATTAGATGGATTAAGTGCACATTTAATGTGCACACAACTGCATTTGGTCAATATTTTGTAACACCAGGTTTTGCTAAAGGTGCCACTCCAGTTGATACATACTGTTTATTGTTCTTCTGTTACATGGATACAATAATTAGTCCATTGTCTTAACCTGCAGGGACTCTGCTAATTTCCAAATTCTTTGGTCTGTGTAATGACAAGAATGTAACATTTCAAATGTAGTTGTGTCAATATTAACTATAGTTTATGATGTAGCAAAGCATTTCCTAACTTTGTATTATTCCATCCGTCATTTATCCACAGCCTGAGTGCAGGGGCCTTTTTCACTGATCTTTCTGCTTCGTCTTGTAGCAACAAAGCTACAGTGCATGTGTGGGCTCACACTATATTTGCATGTTTATTACATTAATTGTTTATGAGGAACAGCTTAACTCCAGCATGCTGTGCGACTTCCTACTACTTTGTGTAGCCATCGTATGCACTAAACCCACAGGGAGAGAAATGTATGGCCATGTGCTCATAAACTGTAAGACAAGCTGTCCAGCATGCCTCCCTGCTGGGCAAATGGTAAATTCAGAGTCAGAGATGAATATCAGCTAGCCCATTAATGTGTTTTGTGTTGTGGTATATGTTCCACTAAGCCATTTAAAACAATCATGCAGAAGTGAAAGATGCAGATGTTTTGAGTAGGTCAAAAAGTGAGGACTGTAGCTTAAGGATATAAACTCAAGGAAATCACCTGACATTACAAGAGGATGTGGTTAGTAATTGTGATCACACGTTTTCTAAGTGAAACTTGACCATATGAAATCAGGCGGTGAAAGCCAGGGTCAAGCCAAAACCATCAGCCTACCTGTTTTGCAGAGTCATGGGACATCATCACCTCAGGTGGAGGGATGGCAATGACAAGGCTAGGTGGCTTCTTGCTCTTTAGGCGGCTATCTGATTGGCTTCTGTTTGTAGGAGGCTCCTCCCCCTCCTGTGACGCCATCCTGTCAGAGTGCTACAGATAAATCATAAACATACATGTAAGTGGAACGTTTGTCACATATGATCAGATTAGTGAATTTGCATATTTAAGTATAGCACTGCTGTGAGAAAGACTTTTTTGAACCAAATTATAATAAATGGATTTTACATAAAAGGTATCATATGAACATTCAATCTGAACGGTTCAATCCAAAGTCGTTCAGCTGCAAGGTGAAATAAGTAGAAGCTATGAGGAGCTTCTCACTCAAATGTATCACTAAAGGTGCAAAGTAAACATTTTGTAATGAGATTTTGCAACAATAATTGAAAAGGGAAACTCTTACAGTCTACCTAAACAAAGTGTCTCTTTAGCAGCAGCTGATTCTCTTTGGGTTCAAGTGGCTAAAAAAAAAACAACAAAACACTGCCAATCTTCCCTTGGGTTTTCATTATCTTCACAGGAAATTTCTAAAGTGATCCTTAAAAGCCTCTTCAGCCACTTGGAAAGGAAAGGAAGCAGATGTTGCTCGTGTAGTTTTGCACAGTGCCAAAAAATGTGAACAAGCAAAGGTAGCACCACAAATATGACTAATTATTTGTTTTAAGTGTTGAAGGATTTATTGCTTGTGAAAATATAGTGGTTTCTACAGAGGCCTGTAGGGAGCAATGTATATCTGTCATTTGCAATTTTATATAGTAAACACACTAAGTTAATCATGGCACATTTTCTGAAAATTCATTCAGGAAACCATTCACTGACATAATAGCCATAATAGCCAAATGGACGTTTAATTTCAGTGAATCACATATCTGACAAATCAATGTACTTCGACAAATCATATGTACGTAATTATAATGCCAAAAGCAGCCCACAGAAAGTTGTTAGGGTTAGATTCCAGTGTGTTTTACCAGTTCGGTTTCAGCACATAAACTCACAATTGCTTTTACATTCATTCTGATAGTTCACTTTTTCATATTAATTCATCTTAGGCGATCTGCAAAAACACTTTGGCACTGCATCTAAAACCTTTCTATGCTAAGGAAAAGTCTAATTTCCCATTTGAAACATCCAAATGCATGACGGTAAGAGATTGATGAAAATTGTATATAAGGAAGCTGAAACCAACGTCTAGATACCACCCCGATGAAGGCCTGATGGCCGAAAACGCTTGGTGATTCAAGTCTTGGGGTTTGGAGAAGAGCAGTGCAACATGTTTTTGATGCTAATAACAATAACAATATACCATACAGTGACACCCAAAACGACAAGACACTGGTTAGCCAACTAACACCCAGAAATCAATTCTGCAGCACCTCATGTACATACACGGACCACTAATGAAAAAGCAACTGATACACCAACTGTTAAACTGTTGGGAGTGACACCCAGTGACAGCAATCAATAGCGCTCTCCAGTCATCATTTATCCTCTGGTGCTTAGTAATCCATCCTTTCCTTCTGTTTGACTTGCTCCAATCTTTATTGCATATAAAAATGCTGATCTCCTAATTGAACCTCATCCTATTTTTGCATTCATTATAAGATGAGATATATATCACATATTGCATGAACCACAGTCTTAAGTGGTGCTAATGTGATAAAACTCACAGTATGTTTGTTTACTCAAAGAAGGAATATTATCATCGGAGTTACTTATCGCCATCTTGTAGTCTTTACCAATCACAGACAGCAGCGGAGCAGCCTGCCAGTCTGGAGCTCAGAATATCTCATACCATTACACACAGTATGTCAAATGGAATCTAATGCACCATAGGTCTAACCAAACCTCAGCCAGCACATCCATTATGTTATTATGTTCTTTAAAGCTTTGAAGTTTTCCTACAGTTATGGTTTATACAATCAATGTGAGACCCTGGGCATCTGGGGTAGGAATGGCAGCAGCATGGAAATCTGACACCAGCTCAGTCAATAGCCTAGTCTCCAGTACCGAGCCAACGCATGAATTGACAGGGCAGTACATATTGTTTGCCTCATTTACTTTGACCTTTCCCCCTAAAAACAGCATTCTGATAATAGAGGTGTACATTTCAATTCTGCCTACAGTGTATTCAATTAGGTGTGATAAAACAAAATTTCAAGCATGGGCAGAAAGCCTGATTCAGTCCTCTTGAGGCTACTGGCAATCTAGCCTGTGGCTTAATGGAGCAGTGGGTATGTGCTGGGACCCACCCACTTAGATAATGAAATAGCTAGGAATTTGGCAAATGGTCAGAGTGCTCTAATGAAGGAGAGGCTGCTGCTGACCACAACCTATCAATGTAGAGGCAGTTGTCCCAAGGCAGTGATCCGCATTGCAAAACTAAAGGGGATGGAGTGCAGATTGTGTTCTCCAGAGCAAGGACAACAGATAATTATACATACAAGGAGTAACAAACGTACAGTGTGTGAGGCACTTAAATGGGACTGAAAAATAATCTTTTGATAAATTTTTTTTTTTTTAGAAGCACATGTAAATAAATTAAAGGTGCATTAAGTAAGACTTGACAGCATCTAAAGCTGATGTGGTTGTTTTAGTGACATTTTGTGCTGTTTGTTGCAACAAGGTGCGCATAGTTTGTGTCACTGCCAGGAAATAGGACATGATGGCAGGGGCAGCTCTTGGTTACAGTTACACCTTCTAGGCCGAAAAGAAATTAAGTTGTGCAGCTTTAACCTATAACTTCATCATGATGCTAAGTTATATTTTAAAGCCTACCTCAGAGTTATTCAGAGGGAACACAATAACAAGGGGCATGATATAGAGTTGGGGTCTCAAACTACCGACCAAGGGCCCAGATCCACCTTGCAAGACAAATTCATGAGGGCCCTAACATGCTTAGTATCTATTTTTAAATCTGATCAGCAACTTTTCAAATTCTTCTCCCCAACAAGATGTTACATGCATTTTAATTTGAGATTTATCATAATTTCTTCAAACAATGCTTCAAAATCAGAGCATGAAATGTCTTTTTATTTCAAATGTGTGATTTAGTAAGCAGCTGTTCAGCTTCAGAGTGATTATATTCTGTAGACCTGACTTGTATTGTTGTTTCTTCTTCAGAGGTCTGGTGGTCCCCTTGGGAAGTTACTCAGATTACATGGGAGTCACATGAGCTTGAGACCCCTGCTATGGAGGATGGAGATTAATTCAGTAAACAGGAACAATGCAACTCCATCATATGTGTATGGGTATCTCCAGCTTTAGGATGCCACTGTACTAGATACAATCATTTTATAGTAGGCTACTTTATTAAGCTAATTTAACACAATTTGTTCTGATTTGCTCAATGACCACAGCAGTCATATCTAAAGAATGAGCTTCAGCTCTGTCCGGGCTGGTAATATATTAGCAATTAGCAGCAGCACAGGGGCATGCTTGCTAAATAAACAATCATTTAACATCTATCTACTCTCTCTCTCACATAGGAACAGCTAACATGACATTTATTTGCAAATGTAACAAATGCAGTAGAGTATGTGATGCTCCAGTTGTTTCTTTAACAATGCATGGAATGACAAGAAAATAAATATCAATGTCAAACCAAGTCAAGTTGTAGTTTATTCACAAAACAAACAAACAAAAAATACTAATAATTTAAGAAAAAAAGAGAATAAAGAAACCACAGAAGAGTGAATGACAGAATCAACATCATCAGATGTGGGGGGACAACAACAGGGTTTTTCCATTACAGGAATCTAGCAGGACGTGTCATGCTGAGTAATGCTCGTCACAGGTTCAGCATTTGTTTCCACTATGATGCTTCCGCTTTTGAGGTGTGTTCTGGGAGCTAAATTTCAGCACCCCTCAGGAGGTAGAGTTAAAATCAAGTACCAGGACTGTGCACGGGGGAGGGGATCCATGCACCTAGAGCAGTCACCAGTGACTGGTGCACGTCTTCACACCTCAAGCATTACTATTACACGCACCGTAAACACGCAGCTGACTGCATGTGTGAAAGAGCAGCAGCCTCCCCCTCCTTTAAACAGAAACAGAGAGAAAATACTGTGGAAAAACAAAGCAGGAGGGTCCGCGTCAACCCCGGAGGCTATGCTTGGTGATGGTTAAGGGAAGTACAGTGTATACTGCTTGTTAGGTTGTGACAGTGAAAATGCAGCAAATCCCAGCTGACTCAGTGTGGTCACAGATGGCGCAGTCACATGCTAGAGCAAGGAAAAGGCCTGTCCACAGTGACATCATCCATAGCTAATGTCATCACACAACATGGAAAGAACCATTTCAGACAAGTGCCCGTGCATGTCTGGGCACACAAGGCACCCCTGTGTTGGGTGATATCACGTGTTGCTCTGAGAGACAGTCACCATGGTTCAGACTCTTCCCGAGGCAGAAGCGTGCACTGAGAATGTGTCTGGGTTAGTTTGTGTATATTCTGATTTCTCTGATGATGAAGGCAACGTTGTCTCCTGTAAACCTGGAGACAGGTTGGACTGTGCATAACCACTCAGAGCTCTATGGTTTTACATACAGTACATGTAAGAGGTTGCTAATACATTCAGGACAAATTGTCCTCTTACTGACTCTACACAGCAGCCGATAAACACTTAGGCCAAGCACACTTAGATGGCTGAAGCCAAGTGTAGGCCACTCCAGTCAAATATGTAAAGACAAGTTAAACAAGTGCATTTGTCTGACAGTTAAAATCAGAAAGTCACAATCATTGTCTGCCAAACACCATAATTACACGTTATAATACATTTTATCATTTAAACTGAAGATTTAGGTACAGTAGATGTAAGCCTCATAACCTCTTTATATCATATGAAAACAAAGATAAGGAAAAAGAAAAACATCAACTATGCCTACTTCAGAAGCGGCCAAACTCTTTCACTCGCTGTGTATTTTTGGCATTCTTCTCACATCTGAGCCAGGGGAATAGTAGAGAAAATACACCACACGCCCCCACAGCAGTAAAGTGCTTGTTGCAGCCTACTGTGGGGAGAAAAGAGTGAGTCCCGCTATAGTGTTGTGAGTGCCAAACTCAGTCTTATACTGCTTTTAAAGCATGTGCATGACTC